AAGTGTTGAAACACCGAACACTTTAGAATTGCAAATCCGACCAAAAACCAATATTCGCTTGCCAGAAAGCAGGGGTATCAACAGCTCAGTAGTCAGTACCTCGGTACTGACATGATTTATAACAAACTTTTCTAAACTTGTCCGTTTATAAATTTAGAAACTTTTAAGAAACTAAGGTTTCAAATCCATCATGCAAAGTTGACCTTAGATGGATTTGGCTATTATTTTTAGGTCCTTTTTGGTCATAGAGCTCTTCAACTGTTTCGGTTCTTATACATCCTTGGCTTTCAAATACTAGTATTCGGCTTTGAGCGTTCCTGATGAAGAGAAATTCAGAAAAGCGCATCTGACGCATGACATTTATATTTAAAAAGGGGGGGGGGGGGGGGTGCAATACCTTTTTCTGTAAACTTGTTTTGGGCTATTTCAAGGTGTTGTTAACTGTTATTTGAAATATATATAAACTGTTAACTGTTTTCAACCCACTGTCTGTTATCTGTTCTGTTAAAATTGGCAATGTTGTAAACTGTTTTATATGAAAATGGGATTCCTGTTATCTGTTACTTGACACTTAAAGTATTCACTGTTTTTGACATACTGTGAAAGTACTTTTGTTCGTGGGGTACCAATTTTCGTGGTTTTGGTGGATGGCTTTATCCACGAATTTAAGTGTCCAACGAAATATAAAAACTGTTATCCAATTGCAGACATGGAAAGATCCCCATGTAGGTTTGACTGCATGGATGCGGGCATATAAGACAATGCACTGTGAACTAAATATTCAACTTCAGACCGGATTTTACCCAATGGGCATTTAATCTTTAAAAAATCTAAACTGTACGACTATTAGCTTTTCAATTCTCATGAAAAATAAGTTTTGGTCGATGAAAGTCAGATTTCATGTGATGATAGGCGACAGTAAAATGTGTTTATTTTATTGTTTCATAATTTTCATTGAAAAAAAATGATTTCATTTTGGGCTTCCTTTTTTTTTTATCTCTGTTAACTGTTTTTCCGAGAAAAAAAACTGATAATGATCAGTACTTAGAGAGGTCATCATGCCATCCATCCTCTACTTCCAGAGGCATAATCAAAGGAGAAATGCTTCGCTTTAAGAGATGTACGAACGATCCAGTAGATTTGCAAACACAATATGCGTTATTTTCTAAACGCCTTATCAAAAGGGGATATAAATAAAATGAAATTAAAACTGTCATGCAGGAGGTGACTGCAAAACAAAGAAATGACACATTAATGGTTAAACCCAAATCTGTATTACAGTTTCTCTACAGTGTTTTCTAGACAGAAAACACACTTAAAGAACAATATTTTGAAACACTGGGATAAATTAAAAGATGGCGATTTTTTATTTTTATTTGATACGCTTTCCGTAGGCATAAAAACTTGAAAGACACAGTAACATCTGCAACTCTTGGTAATTAACATTACATTACATTGCAAATTATGAAAATATGTTCTATACTAAGTTTGTTAAATTGATAAACATTGACAGAAAAGAAAGAGTATAGAAAAGTATTAGTCAAACAGATCACGAGGTGTCGAGCGCCTTATAAAAATTACAGTATTTTTAAGTTTAAGTGTCACCATGAAATGGCTTGGGCTTCTGACGATGGGCATGGCCATGGTCAATTAGTTTATTCAAATTGGTCTAAATAGATGTCCGAAACACCTTGTGATCTATGGAGTTTGGGTGCTGGGATAGGACAACGATTTATTGAAATAATAAAGCATATAGATTAATGTTATCAATGAATTCTATTTGAAACTATAATACAAGTAATAATTCAAGAAAAACACAATAGAGTACTAATCTTTGGACTCCTTCAGTTAAACAATGCATTTTAAACAGCCAACCGGTAGGAAAATGTTCAGAAATGTATATTCAGATCATGCAACTTGACACTGACTTCAAATATGGTTACAGTCAAAATATTGTTTCAAAATAAGCAATTTTGAAGTCATTTTTTAGGTCCTCTTTGATCTCAAAATATCTATTTTTGAGATCAGGTAGGCGCTGAAAAAATGACTTCAAATTGGCTAAATCTCTTTTCGGCCGGGGAGGGGGGCAATCCCACCAGATCCCCTACCAGGGTTTTGCCCTGGACCTACCGGGGGCCTTAAGTGGCCCCAGATCCCTTGCCAAAATGATTTTGCCTGCTATTCTGAAATTATTTCCTCTTATTCCAAATTTAATGAAAACACTGAGGTGCTTGGAAGGGGTGAGTATTTCCTTCTTTTTGCAAGACACCCGCTGTTTTGTTTTAAAAATTCCTTTAATTCGGATAGAACAATCAAATATCTTAATATTTTTCGATTTTTCAATATAGTTAAGTGTTATTGAAGTTTTTACACCACTGTTATCTGTTATTCAGTTAAAGTTGGTGTTAACTGTTATCAGCATATTATATTTGTTGTTAGAAAATGAAAGGATATGGAGTAAATGTACATGGGACAAAATCGCACACAATACATAGAAAACATAGAAATTATCAATGAACAGGGCTTTTATTCCTGTTCTTCATCTTGACAGTTGATGTTGATGTTCAACAATGAACAAATCATTCATACCCTAACTGTTTTTGCCAAAATCGAGGTGTTCTTAACATGTTAACGGGCCCCCTATTGCACCCCTCATTAAAGTGTTACATTTCATTTTATTTTGTCGGTACTACGTAACGGTATTGTCATGATTCAAAATCTATGTTTTGTCTGTATGTTAGGTTGCAACTGTATAAAGTTGACCTAATCTTTTGCACAGTTTAGGGCGTTATAGTTTTGTGCTCTCGAACTTTTCAAACTGTTGATCTCGAGCGTACATGTTGAAGGTCATTTCCTGATGGTATCATCAGCTCAGAGGTCAGTTTTTCAATGCTGACTTGATTTATAACATACATTTTTAAAAGCCCCTTAATAAATTATTAAGAAACTAAGGTCCAAACTTCATCGGGCAAGGTTGATCTAGATTTAGTTCCCTTTTCTTTTAAGTCAATTTGTCATAATAGCCTCTAACGTTTCTGCGTAGTTTTACATCCTAAGTCAGGAATCCGATTACAGTAGTTGTCGTCTGTTTATGTAGTTCATACGTGTTTCTCGTTTCTCGTTTTTATATAGATTAGACCGTTGGTTTTCCCGTTTGAATGGTTTAACACTAGTACTTTTAGGGGCCCTTTATAGCTTGCTGTTCGGTGTGAGCCAATGCTCCGTGTTGAAGGCCGTACCTTGACCTATAATGGTTTACTTTTATAAATTGTTACTTGGATGGAGAGTTGTCTCATTGACACTCATACCACATCTTCCTATATCTATCTAATGTTTCTGCGTAGTTCTACATCCATGGCTTTCAAACGTTTTGGTTTGAGCATTACTAATGAATGCAAATAAAAGAAAAAGCTCTTAGAATGCATGAAATTTATAAAGTGCTTTGTTCATTTATTCAGAAAAATCAGGCTTATAAGGACCCTTTAATGATATACAATATTATTATTCTGTTTCATTTTCGTCCCATACATTCCATAGGAAAATGAGTAGGTTTCCTTACCCAGCCGACAACTCTATATAAAAATAAGGAAATATGATAGGATTGTCAATGAGAAAACTATCCACCAGAGACCAACTGACGTCATAAGCAACAACATGTCACCATACGGTCGTCAATAATTAACAAAACACATACCGTATCGTCAGAAATAAAAGATACCTACATAACAAAATGAGAAAACCAACAACCTGTCAAAATAACGAAAAACAAATATGACAGACCGTAACCAACGAACCCTTGACTTTTAGGCTCTTGCGACAGTCGCACAAAGAATCAGCTCGCCTTGGACAGTGGTGTACCAGCATAATATAAGAACGACCTGTGAAAATCGGGATTGAAAAGGATTGACTCCTTAGATTGCCATGAAGCAGAAAGCAATTAACATGAAGACAAAAGTAACAAAGAACCGAAAAATTATAACGAAAATACTGAACTCCAAGGTAAATCAAAAAAGGTGAAGTCCACATAAATTACCAAATCAGACGTTATCAACCAACGGAACGAGTGGAAAACAACTGTCATATTCCTGACTTGGTAGGAATTATTGAAGTTACTGAAAGCTAGTTCAAAGGCAATTACAATTAATAAATAAGGCATGTTCTTTAAGACTAAAGTGTCAATCAGTACACATTCAACGGATTAAGTATTCTATTTTTTTTTATTTCAGTGGTAAACATCCGAACAAAGTTGATGGGTTGTTCTTGTTTTTATTTGTTTTTACAATTCCCAAGCATATGTGTAGTTGCATACTTGGTGTTAGGCTTCCTTTAAAATTAGTCTTCAATGTTAACTGAATTGATTGATTGATTTTTGGTGTTTTAACGCCACTTTTATGCACCGCTTTTGGGCTATTTCGTGGCGGCCAGTTTTTATTGGTGGAGGAAGCCGGAGTGCCCGGAGAAAACCACCGACCTTCGATAGGAAAACTGACAATCCTAGTCGATTAAGATTGGAGTCGAGTGCACCCGCACGAGCGGGGTTCGAACTCACAACCTCAGTGTTGACTGGCTAGTGATTACAGTAGTAACTACTTAGACCACTCGGTCACCAAGGCCCCCAATGTTAACTGAAAACTCAGTACAGGAAACCAAATATATTTGTTGATTTTTCTGCGTTTGTATGTCTGATCAGGTACAAAACTGGGGTTAAAGCATAGTCATAAATTGCAATAAATGGATCCATTTATTTACGTACTCAAAATCTCAACCATTCTTATCAGATATACACAATATAAACAGACATAGTGCCTCACGTTTAATATCACATTTTCGTCAAAATATAATAAATAAACAAAATAAATAGCAAGACGTCTAGCGCAGCTAGATTTCCTGAGACGAAACAAAAATAAAGTAAATTTGATTCCGGAAATTGATTGTCCATAATTGTTTTTGAAGCTTCATTATTCCACAGAAATTTAGATGACTACGAAAGCTCTCTGGACGGATAAATCCACCTGAAACAAACGTGGTTGATATTATTAACAAAATAACACATAAATTTCATAATTTCTGTTTTTCTATCATTATATTGTTTCTTATTTCATGTGAATCACGTAACACGTTTAATTATGTGTTTCATGTGACACGTTTTCCATAACAGACTTTCTGTGTCACGTGACATGTTTCTTTATGTGAATCACGTAACAAGTTTAATTATCTGTTTCATGTGACATGTTTTTCATAACAGCCTTTCTGTGTACCACTTTAAGAGCCGTGATAGTAATAGTACACTAACTTGTGATATTCAAGGGTTTTCATTTGTTATTATGATTTCCTGCTTACAATGAAGCTATTGAACGAAGGGGTTTGTGTCATCTATTCGAAAGATTTACTGAAGCCACCATGTTTTGGTAACCATGGTGAACAAAAGGGAAAAAACTCTCGCATTTTTTATTCGTCAGATAATTCATTGTGTTAATAATGTCAGATCCCGTTTTCGGATGACAATACTAAAATAACAATACTTGTTTTCTTATTTAAGCATGAAGCATGTTCATCATAATCTAATTTCCATTTTATGGTTTGATTGTTAGAATAAGCGCTGATCATGTGGTAGCTTGTATATCGTGGGTTGGTCGGAAAGAAGGACGGAAACTTCAGATCGGCACTATAAAAAAGGTATGCTAAGTAAGGAAAGAACTTTTGCCATTAAAAAAAATCTCCTGCAGGCATATCAAATATTTTGTGTTCAAGAGTTTTTACGTCCACCAAGACAAGTACTGTAGATAAATATAATCATTGCGAAAAATAAAAGACAAACGGAGGAGACAAATTTTCCTTTATTTGATAATTTCCAAAATATACTTACAAATTTATCAGATCATAAATGGCTGTCATCAGAATATTGCAAAAGTCTGTTTTTGTTTATGAGTGTTCTGAGTATTCCGGTATCTCTTTTCCTTCTACCACTGTAAAAAGAATAAAAAAAAGAAATGCATCAAAATTTTGTTTTATTGCACACATTAAGCCAGTATCGTTATTTGGATATTTAGAAACACAAAATTATTTTGCATGAAGCATTTTAATTTATTTTCAATTCACTTTATCAGTGTATAGTGTTTGTTTTCATTCTAAGAGTTTTAAATACTAGTTTAATACTGATATATTAAAACATACTGTGAATTTGCATTACAATACTTGTTTTTTTTTCTCATTACAGCGAGCTAAGCGAGCAATGACGAAGCTGTCGCCTACAATGAGCTTTTGCAGAATGAGCAGAATGTTTGTGAAGAAAAAGTCAAGAAGTTTATGGAAAACTCTATATATGATTTTTGTAAGGTTGGCTTTTCAAAGTTACTGTATATTTTTAAGCAATGAACGCGTACCCAATATCTTAGCACTATGGACGAAACTGCTTTCGAAATGCATAAAACCGCAGCGTTCTCTTCGGAGGCATGGTCTATTTATACCATGTTGCTCAAGTAGATATTGATCTTTGCAATTTATTCTCTTCGGAGGCATTGTCTATTTATACCATGTTGCTTAATTAGATATTGATCTTTGCAATTTATTGAGTATTCCTCCGCTTTGTCTACGACCACATTTATTTCATATAGTGTACACATGTAGTGCTAGTCCCTTGCGCAAAGAAAATTTAAATCGAAACTGACGGTTCCAATTAATTTTTGTTTTTAAATTTTTTTTTCCGTCCATTGACTTATTTCTAGTGAGCCAAGTAATGTTTACTGGGAGATGGGTTGCTTGTTGTAAAATAATAATAAGGTTTCCACGTAAGTTGGCGTACTTTTATCGAAGTATATCTACGCAACACAGACTATAGCTAATACAAAAATTGTGGTTGAGCCAATGTCGATCACATAAAATGAAAATTTGTATGAACATATCGCTGAATGACGGATGCTTTAGAATCGTAAATTCAGACTGGTTCCATGTTCGTGACTTCCATATAAAGTAAAAGTTTAATACGGGGGTATATTGTCAATGTTTTGCAATTTACGTAGCTCACTGATAAGCATGATAAAAACTAAATTTGCCATGGAGATAAATAGAATAGGGCCATTTAATGAGTACAGTGCACATGTCTCTATTTCACTCGGCTGAATATTTTATAAATTCAACTTTGTTCTTATGTAACAAAAATGGATCTGCTAATAGTCCATGATGCTTAACTAAAGCACTATCGTTTGCCAGTAAACTTGTTTGAAAAATGAGGACCGGATTGGTAAAAAAAAAATATGTTTTTTTTTTTTCTTAATTTCGTAAATGTATGTTTAGAGATAGGGTTTTGGCAAGCATGAATCTTTTTTGCGTCATTGGTTTGTTCATTTATTTTCAAAGGAGAAAAAATATGATGTTCATAGAACTTGTTTTTCTCATTAACTCATTCAAATAAGTAGAATATTGTGTTTTCGCAAAAACATGCTTTGGCTCGCTGATATACTCCTTGCTATACTCATTTGCGACCAATATAATAGAAAAAGCGTCATGCTAGATGAATTTATCGATTCTGGATTGACTATAACAGAGATACCTGAATGCAGAAAACATCCGTTAAGCCTGGCCAATATTAGCAGAGATACCTACATGCCATATGGGTCAATTCTGCCATGCCCAACTATACCACTACCTCGCGACAACGCAATCAGCGCCTGTAGCTCTGCAATTCTTTGGTCTGAAGACGTCCGCTTTTCAAATCTGTAGTAAATCAAGCATGCGGTTTATGCCCAGGAAGATTATAAGTGCATTGAAGCTGCAATTTGGGATGGTGAGTTATATCATAGAATACGTAGATGTACGGCTTCTTTATAAGTATTTAATAAATATCAAGATGGCATTTTATTCATGCCACTAGGTGTTGAAAGATTTTGGTACGTTTTGCATAATTCGGTAGACTTGCGTAAATATGAAGCCTAAACACGTGTGTCATTTTTTACAGAAACGATTTCGCATATCAAGTATTCTATGACATATGGAAATGGAAGATCATGCAAATGAGTCTGGAAACGCTGCAGCAAAGCATCGTCATTTCTGCAATATAAATAAATTGATACCTACATTTTATTTGTGTCAAACTGACCATGCGTTAGTAAAGGTCGTCCTTGGTATAATGCCAGTCTGGCTTGATAATCGGCTATACGTTGATCTGACCATGATCTCTTGGCAAACCTGTGAGTGTAAGGTAGTAGCAACATGCATATATTTGCAGACATTACACAGATGAAGAAATGGTTTTTTGTTTTCCTCTAAAGTTTTATATAATTTTCTCTCATTACTTTTTCTAGTCTTTCAATTCATTCTAAAAAAATGTTTTAACCACCTCTTCGTAATATAACATAACACCATGCAAAATAATAAATGAGTAATATCGAGCAGAGTTTTAAAACATTACAATAAGGAAGTAAAAAGGATCGATCATACAAGTTTATACATTTAGAGAGGTCGGATCCCAAATGATGTTAAATAGATTCTAATTATCACTGTTTTTTCTTACTTTTTTAATTCGAAATTACTTTTTTATCATTGGGTCAAATAACCTTATAATAATCTTAATATTTTGAAAGTTTTGAATTTTGCAAAATATATAAACAAATTACTGTCTTTAAAGAGATTATTTGAATTGTAATTTTGAATTAGACAAGTCTACAAACAATTTAAATTCAGTGCATATCGGATAACGCTATACTGATGAAAAATAAGTCACAAATTTCGTATTTGCTACATGAGTGAAATAAAACATTTGTTATTTGTTTATTTATTAAACCTCCAAAGTTTTCATTTGTTTATCCTCCATTATTGTAACGTTTCAGTTCTATTTTAATGTTCTGCTCAATATATCGTTAAAATATATGATCATTCTTAAACTAAATTAAAAGCATGTGTTTCAGCATGCCAATAAAAAGCCTACATAGTCCAACTTGTGAAAAACGACAACTTATTGATAATTCAGTCTCTTTAAATGAATTGGGTTTGTCCAGGTTTACAAATGTTTCATATATCGAAGGGAATGCCGCTTTTACAAGTTGGACTGTGTAACATTATATTGCAAACTTTCATTGATAAAGATTAATATGTATAAATATTATTGCATATACTGTTTCATGCTAAGTATCAATATATTGTTATAATGGTAATATTATATCATATATCATTCCATTATATATACCACTTCACCAGACGTTACGTTACTTTGACGAAACAACACGTACATTTTGTTGTACCTGGTTTGAAAATCAAACAGGCCGCACGCTACCTCTCGACATCCACCGGCTAGGCCCAGTCTGATCAGGGCAAGATACTCAGAGGCCTTTGCATCGGCCATTTGACGTTTAACACTGAAAACACAGTCACAAACATATAACATGAAAACACACACATATATTGACAAACAAAACAAATGTTTACGTATAAAAGACTGCCCTAACATAGATAATTTTTAATGGTGAATTTCAAGTTTAACGCAATTGATAATCTCACGTAGAAAACATAAAGCAGTTTTGCACAATTTGATTCTACTACTGTTTATGTATTTTGATATGAATGTAAACAATTAATCAAGTAAAAGATAATTTTGCATTGACGTAAGTTGATTTAGAATAATTTTCTTTTTCCGCCATGTTGGAGGACAACGTACAAGTTTTCAATTACAACAGGAGCTTCATCCAAAGAATGCACACGAAACTTACTGCGTTCCACGTTCTCTTCTCCAGGAATATTTAAAGTGAACACTTTTGTAAATGTAGCCTTTACGCATAAAAACATTTCTTATATTATCAAAAGAATTTTAATAATTTTAAATTGTTTTAACCTTTTCTTTTGCCTAAACTTGTTTTGCTTTTGTTGAACAAGACCGAAAAAAAGGACTATAGAAAAAAGTAAAATAAAACCAAAGGGCATTCAAAAACAAATTAGTCAAAGGATAGGCTACATCCTTAAAAAAATTGACGTAACGGCAAATAAGTCAACATTACACTATACAAAAAACAAAGATAGAGTAACACGACTCCCCCTTTTTTAACAAATGGGTATTAACATGGGACCTTCGGAAGAGTGTGCACTTCTTGCTCTACCAGTGGAATCCTTCGTGTTCCTAAAGACAAGTAAATAATCCGATGATTAGTCAAAATCAGACAAGAGGGGGTGGGGTGTGTGTGTTGGGGGAGGGGGGGAGTTGTGGCTACTATTGGCGGAATTTGTCCGTAGTGATCCGTGACACAGATTTTTAAAAGGGTCAACGAAGTCATCATGGCGTCCGTTTAAGTAACTTTAAATCAGCTGCTTCTCTTTTATTTCAGCAATTCTCTATCAAGGAAGTTCTGAGTGGAAATACGAGGTATGTTTTACCGTATCAGTTGGAAAATGTGTATTTTAACTATAGATGCTGTCAAAATGTTGCTGCATTAAATGGAGAGTTCACAATAGGAAAATTGAAGTCGTCGCTTTTGGCGTAATGTTAGATTTCAACCGGCATCAATGTCGAGTTATAGGTCAAAGTGAAGTATGAAGACCCTTTGTATCTTTGGTATCATCAACTCAAATTCAATTGGGTAAATGCAGTCAAAATGTGGTATATACCCAATTAGCAGTCTCTCGGATTGTTAATATATTGCGAAAAAATGCCTGACTTTTGTGGAACAATTTTTTTACATCCTAATTTGAAGACAGACCTTCAATGCAATAATTAAAGAGAGGCGAAAGACATAAAAGTGACACCAAATCTCATAACTCGAAAACAAACTGATAATGCCATAGCAAATAAAGCTGAAACTACATTGCTCAAGGATGATATCAAATGATTACATAACGTTTCTCTGTAATTTCCTGGTAAATTAAGAAGCTTCCAAACGTTCATAGAACAAGGCGGGAAACGTGTTACTTTATCCGTAGTTAGAGTTTGAAACCTCTCTATCCTATAATTAATGATGGCAATTCTTTGAAATATATGAACATTTGAATTCTAAGTCAATTTTTTTTTATTAATCAGTAATGACACTATCGTATTGTAAATTTAGGCACGATTTTGGTCATCATTTATTGAACATTTCTTTATGAAGATTTATTAGCATTAAAGTGATCAAATGCAATCATTTTATTTTACTTTTCTGTTGTGTCGTCATTTCTATTAATATAATTTGTTTGACATTGTATGACAAACATTGGTTTGAAAAGCGTTTCCGTTTTTCGAATCATCTCGTAGGAGGTTAATTATGCTTATTATGTAACAAAGAAGCAAAACAAATCTAATATATTTTCAAATTTAATTGATGAATAAATAAAACAACCAATCGGTAGTGAGGAAACATCAGTTTTAAAGTGGCTGTGAAAAAGCGATGATCTGTCGTAATTTTACTGCACTTATGAAAAGAGGAACGTTAATTTAAACTTCAAATAGTAAACAATTACAGAAATGATTCGTCGCAAAGTATGGATAAATTGATTTCAAATTAACAAATTGAGATTGATAATATAAATCTTAACAGACAAAATCAAATAAATTAGTATAAAGGAATTTTCTAGGAAAGGCATTAGTAAAGGCTTACGTTACGTCGAAGTATTTGATTTTTTACTCCTAACACGTAATGAGAAGGTTTAACAGCAATTGACAAATATTGAATATTTCCACTCCAAACAAACCGGAAATAGTATCAAAAAGAAATACTTCATAGACAATGTCGACAGCCTTTTGATATTAATTCCAGATAGAGGATTCACACAGTTATTTTACTGAATGAAGAACGTCTTTTCAATTTAAGAGGTTATTCATGAACCATGTTGAAAATTGATGGATGAGGGCATGTTTGAGGATGACTTGGAAAAGCCGTTTTCAACTAAGAAGAATATCATTTTTTTAAATCTGCTTGCTATCTTTAAAATAATTGTGTGGTATATAAATGGCATCAAACAATTGCTTATATTTTTACCATATATAAAATGTGTATGTAAAATATACACAGACAACAAAATTTAAATATTCCTATCTTGTCAGTGTTTGTCAATAGATCCCTACGAAAAATGTAAGAATAATTGTACGAATGTTTTGAATTGTAGACTAAAGGAAACTGCACAAGAAAAAAAAACGGGAAACCAGCAACAAACTTTGAAATTAAAATCGAATTTGAACCTATTAATTAAGAGACGAGAACAACCAAATAACACATTTGTTTGATATATCAAAACCGATTAGGAAATGTAAAACGGTTGAGAATTAGAAAAATCAACGTTCCTTCGAACCCGACGTATAATGTATGCAAAGCAGTGTTTCACAGGAGAGCGTAGCTTTGAATTAACATTACTCACATAGATTTCTGAAGATTAACCATAATGTAAACACTGACCAAGGCTTTAAGGCTTCCAATGTAAATCTTGTCATATTTTGAAACATTGGCTTGATAATCCATATATATGTAGAATTGAAGACAGAAAAAAAAATCAGATGAAGTCGGACCGCGCTTTGAGCATCTGATACAATAAGAAAATCATAATATAATGTCCTGCTTTAAAGGGAGTGAAAATTTTCGATTTTTACAGGACATTCGTGTCTCTGATGATCGACCTACCTTTCATAGTGACAGTCTTCCGACGTCTGTTAAAATATCAGAATGTTTTGATATCTTTTTTACATTCGGCTTGAAAGAAGAATGGATATTATGGATGATGTCGCTTCACAAAATGTATTCGAAAGTGTTCTCGAGCTAACATTGTGGACCAAACAAAACAATGTCAAGTAAAAATATCAATATATGTCCATACATAGATATAGAATATTGAATTGTAAATATATAACTTGTACTGCAAACATGAATCAAGAAAGATAGAAAAAGTATTTTAGGCGCTTTGAAATGTGACCGGATATTGCATAACAACTATGGATAGAAAGACGCCCTTTGATATGAAAAAAAGAGGCGAAAGATACCAGAGGGACATTCAAACTCTAAAACAAACTGACAACGCCATGGATAAAAAAGAAAAAGACAAACAGACAAACAATAGTACACAAAACACAACATAGAAAACTAAAGACTGAGCAACACGAACCCCACTAAAAACTGGGGGTGATCTCAGGTGCTCCAGAAGAGTAAGCAGATCCTGCTCCACATGTGGCACCCGTCGTGTTGGATAATAATAATGGTAATAAGTCTAATTCCGTAGTATGAAGTATGCGATATCGGCGAATGCGTGTAATTCGAAAAGAAGACTGCAGCAAAAGAAAACGGAGATCAGTCTAGAGGAAGACTGCATATTCACGCATACGTTGGGTATGCAGAAAATCAATATGAAAAGTGAATACAAACATATACTTGAACTTGTCAATATGAAGACTGAATACCGACGAAAACAAAGACAACATATTGACAAACGCATACACAAATATAAAAACAAAACGTACCGATCTAAGTCATCATCTGTATATCTTGCTTGCACTACACATGCTAATAATATCGTTACTGCTACTATTATACTTGTTGTATTTTGCTTCATGTTCATCTGCAAAAAGATAGATAAAAACAGATAACCTCTAGATGAAAAGCAGTAATCTTAGATCTGTAAATATAAAATATAGACAAGTATTTGCTGCTAAACGCTTTATATCATTCCTCAAATATCATGTTTTTTCTTCTTTTCTTTCATCGTGGTTGACCAAAATTACTAGAAATGAGTGTTTAACATTGACTTATAAATTTTCTTCCACGTGCATGTAAAGTTGTTAAGGAATCTGAGCTTTGATCTGTGACTAAAAATACACGATGTTTGAACAACTGTTCGAAATCGAATACGAAAGCCAAGGTATATATTAAGTTTGACTTCCTCTTTTCCGAAAATATTTAACCTATAAGTCACCGTGTTTATTGTATAAAACTGAAAAACAATTTTGAATAAATAAAACTAGGAAAACCAAAAGAAGAAGGAAAACAGTGTAAGTAATTTATCATGGGTAGAATACGAAACAATAATCTAGTTTCCTCTAGTTGTTGGCCTTTTTACATATTGAAAATGTTAAAATCTGTATTCATCTTTCATGTTATTATATTATGACTTTATTTGGTAGTATCCTTAAAGATCAACGACTTCAGCACTGCTACTTACTCAACCAATCAAGAATGCTTTTAGTAAACTTATAACTAAAGATGAAAATATTTGAAATATATTAACAGTAAATAACAACAGTCTCACTCAGTTCAATGATATTTGCTTGCATTGACATTTTCACTTACCGGAATGGCATCGTTGTCTAGGATAAGAGTACTTGCTTTTTTTATGAAAGAATACATAGATCAATATTTTATGTTGTTGTAAAGCAATGTGATATTCAGCGAAATGTAACTAGAAGATAGCGTGTACTGCATAAGCGTAGTGGCTGCGCCTTGGTGGACTGTCATACAAGTGAGAGGTTTAGCTAGCTATAAAACCAGGTTCAATCCACCATTTTCTACATTAGAAAATGCCTGTACAAAGTCAGGAATATGACAGTTGTTATCCATTCGTTTGATGTGTTTGAACTTTTGATTTTGCCATTTGATTGGGGACTTTCCTTTTTGAATTTTCCTTGGAGTTCAGTATTTTTGTGATTTTACTTTTTTCTGCATAAGCGTAGTGGCGCATAAAAATGGCACGTAAACGGTAGTTAGTCATAGTGTTGTCACGCGAATAGTTCTAAGTATAATTGGTAATAGTAATTGTACCATAAGCTCCTGCAGAGTAAAATTGCAAACAATATTCGCGAACTTTAGTGCGACAACCCAAAATATTAAAAAAAGTATTACAAGACAAAAATTCCATAGTAGAGAAAATATACAATTTTTAAAGTACAGTTTGTACAAGTAAATTTCAGAATCTAGTACTCATCAAACTCATTTGTAGCACTGTCGTATTGAATGAACGTTTTGTCAAGTCAGATATTAAAAAGCAGAGGTCGTTTGTGTTCTATAAATGTTTTGGTTAAGGATACCTTATGGATATCTTATAATGTTGATATATTTCGTTCGTCTATCCTTCCCGTTTCAGGTTTAAGTTTCGGATGATTTAAGGTAGTTTACCATGAGTTTGTGGTCACATTAATTTGAAACTTAGAAACATATGTTCAATATGATGTATTCTATAAAACTACATCTACTAACTTCTGTGTCGGCCAAGATATACGCGCGTGATAGCAATTTCTGACGAGTCGACACCAAAAACTTTGGAAAAACTATTTAAGATATATTTTAACTGAAACCATTTAGTTAAACTAATATATTAAATTGAAAGCAATTGTGCTTGTTAATCTTCGTCAACCTTTTCTTGGCTTCTATAAAGGGGAATGATTTTATATTTGATCTGTAGCTTCATAATGTTGACGTGCAGCGGGTACGCACTTTTACATCTGCAGTGCGCTAATTCCTGTGTGTAGATAGTTGAAAATTTTACACTCACTGTACAAGGAAATTTTTCGTCAAAGTTTTCTTGGCTTCAATGAATGAGAAAGATCAGTTATGATTCAGTATACATGTTACCTCAATCAATTGCATGCAGCGGTGCAGATTCAGACACAGTTTTGGTCTTGTTCTGTTTTTTACTATTATATGGATATAGTGATTACTAACATATACATTTACTTATATCTGTGATATCTTGCATGCGGATACGCTTATTGTAAAAATGTCTAAGGTGACAATAAGTTGGCTATTTCACTAATTTTAAAGAAAACTTCAGCAATAGCAAGAACGGAATGAACTTGTGTCAAAAACTAAGATCCATTTAAAGCATTGGATAATTTCTTTGACAAGCTAATGTGTACAATTCCTAGATAGACAAGCAAGCGAGAAGTGATATACCTTTTTGAAAAGCTCCCAAAAGCAAACAGCATGTATTAGAAATGTGATTCAATATAACCTCAAATCAACTCACTAAATATTGTATTAACGGTACAAAGTACTAGGAAATCTCACAAAAAGAGAATTGGAAATGGAATAAAATTCCAGTCTTTAAATGTCACAGCTGCTATTTGAAAAATAGAAATACAGGAAAACTTAAACTGGTACACTTTTTTGCTTGGCACCAGTCAGCGGATTGCATCACAAAACCAACATCTTGAAAGTTCATTTAAGCTGTTGTACATCCTCGTTTCCTTAAACAATTATGACTATTCAATCGTTTTATATACGCATTCACTTATAGATTTTCAGTAATATGCATAGCATTGCATATGCGCTTTACGTGAATTACAAATACACTTATACTTACGCAAATTGAATTCAAGAAAACTGGTATAGATTAACAAATGTTTTAAAATTCAATTTGAATTTCTAAGTATTTGCAATTCAGCATTTTAATATAATTTTGAAAGAAAATCTATAAGTCCATGTCTAAAAGTTACATACATTCTCGGTCAAAAGAAAAACTCAAGTAAGCATTAGATCTTTATAAATTTTGAAGACAACATATAGTCAGTTTAACTAACTTGTGATGGAAAAAAACGTCGTGTTTTGTCCTACTACTGTTTAATTTAAAGAATAGCTTAAATGTTATCCAATGGTTAAATTAGAAAAGGAAAAAGGTTATCAACATGGCCCGTTATGTTGTCCAATTGGCTCGTAAAGCTAGAAAAGGAAAATGTTATCCAAATAGCCCGTTATTCTAAAATAAAAAAAGGAACATATTATAAAAGGGCCCATTAAGCTAGAAAAAGAAACTGTTATCCAAAGAGCTCGTTAAGCTAGAAAAGGAAAATGCTATCCAAATAGCCCGTTAAGCTAGAAAAAGAAAATGTTATCCAAGGGCCCTATAAATGTTATCCAAGTAGCCCGTTAAGCTAGAAAAAGAAGATATTATCCAATGGTCCGTCAAGCTAGAAAAGGATATATGAATGCATTATCTTTCCTGTATACAAAACAAGTAAGAGGTTTTCCATAGATGTGAAAGTAGTATGAAAAGATTTGTGTAAATCTAAATAAAGCAAACAATATTAGAAGAAGGCATTTGTAAAGCGACACATACGTGTACTAACAAACCAGACAAAAAGATTGAATTAAGACCAATCAAAATACAAACACATAAGGACAAACAGGGAACCTATTGAAAACAAAATTTATAACTTCCGGTTTTTTATGAGTTTCCTATTTAGTGATAAAATTTCGGAATAATTTCACGTAATCAGAAGTATAAACAAACAGGGCTGATATGCATAAAACTACTTAAGTTAAGATTTGTTCCGAACGGACGGATTTTTCTACATGTCCTACGATAAATTAGTACTACGATTAGATATCTTAACTTAAGCGGTTTTATGCATATCAGCCCAGAGTATGAACACCAGAAATATCAATTGATATTGAAATCAGGTAATTATTCTTTATCTCCAACTTGGTTCCGACATGCGCCGTATAACTTTCTTGTAAAATCTAAAAACGTGTAGTAAATGGATTGAGTATGAGCAATTCGTTGAAAGTGATATTTGAAAATTAAATATATCTTTTTTAAAAAATAATATAAAATTCGAATAAAACAGAGAAAAAAATATTAGATAGATACAGTAAGTAATTGCTGATCAGGAAAAGGGCAAGTGATAACAAAAGAGATGTTTTATGAAATGAAAGTGTACTTCTCTTAAAAAAATAACAGTACTGTGTTTAAAATTTGCCATCATCAATTGGTAATGTGGCCGTCGGTAGCAAATACAGTTGTATCTGCGACGAGGAACGTAGCCAGTAAAGGGGATATATGCGACTGTCAAATCCCAAATTTACCATGGCACTTCTTCAAACACAGTACTGCTATTCCTGTTCTAATGCAATTCTAAAATGTTCAAAATAAACATTCCAAATATCCCAGAAAAGTCTATTGCGCGACGTTGTTGCCAATGACTCCGGCCGTCAACCATGGAATTGTCATCAGCTATCGTCCAATCAAAAGTGGCTTTACATATCACGTATTTCAATTGAATTGGATTTATTTGTAAATTCAGGTGGTGAAAGACAAACTTGTCAATGAAAACATTTAAAGTTGTATGAACTTCAACGAAGTTGAAAAAGATGCGTCGACATGGCTGAAATCGATTATGCATATATCACCAGTCAAATAAACCCAGAACCATATCAAGTCGCAAGCTCTGATATATCAAATGATGAGAAACGTAAACGCAATATACTGGCAAAGATCATGTGTTACTACTACGAAATAGAAAGTTAACAATTAAAAACAGAGATAATTGTTTTATAGATCAAAACTTTGACTTGTCCATCACCGTGAGCAGCATGATCAAGATTTGGAAATGACGCAGACCCCGTATCTTTGTGGTATCTTTAAACAAGAGGCTCTCAAGAGCCTGAATCGCTCACCTGTATTTCAGAGGAGAAGATTTTTAAATGTTAGCAAACTTGATGAACAAATTGTGTAAAATTGTCTTTAAAGGGCAATAACTCATTAAGGGGTCAATTGACAATTATGGTCATATTAACTTTTTTGTAGATCTTACTTTGCTGAACATTATTGCTTCTCACAGTTTATATATATCTATAATAATATTCAAAATAATAACAAAAAACTGCAAAATTTTGTTAAAACTACTAATTTGGTGGCAGCAACCCAACAATGGGTTATTCGATTCGTCTGAAATTTTCAGAGCTGATAGATTTTGACCAATTGAACAATATTACCCCATGTCAGATTTGCTCTAAAAGATTTAGTTTTCGAGATATAAGCCAAAAACTGAATTTGACCCTTATGTTCTATTTTTAGCCATGGCGGCCATGTTTGTCGATGGATCAAAACTTCTGATACAATTTATAACTAGATACCCTAAGGAACATTTAGTTAAAGTTTGAAGGTATTTGGCCCAGTAGTTTCAGAGGAGAAGATTTTTGAAATAGTTTACGACGACAGACGACAACAGACGACGACGACGACAGACGACGGATGACGACGGACGCCAAGTGATGGCATAAGCTCACATAGGGCCCTTCGGAGCTAATAATCAGTTGGACATATTGGGACTCTCTAGAAAACTGATTACAAGACTCCAGCGAAAGGACATTATCAATAAATCTGAAATAAAAATTAAACGCTTATGTTCTTGTTTTTCTATCTGTCTTTAAGAAGGTTTTGTATAAGTTTATTTCATTAAAGTAAAGAAACATTTCGGCTATCAGGAGCGCACAATAGGACCCACTGGAATCCCAACGGTCAGATGCAATATCAACCTACAAAACTCAACAGATATATTGTCGATAAAAGTGTTTCCCAAACACTTTTCATTTCTTTTTTTGACTGCGTCAACCAATGTGTTTTACAATTGATAACATTATAAAAAAAGACCAATAAACTTTCTTCCTTATTAAAGTTTGTTTTCAGCAGTCTATTTTAATATTGTGTCTATCCTTGCTCTCTACAAATCCAAAAGAAGTAAAAGTACAATTGTAGCTGCATAGAATAGACATACAATTGAGAAGTTCCGTTTAAGATGGTTAAATACTGCTGTCAAATCTAATTACCACCATCTTTAAAGTAAAACAATACAAGATTTTTGTTTTCCAACATAATGTGTAGACGTTTTATTGTTTCCTGGTCGCTTGACACTTAACTTTTTAATATTCTATATTCTGAAAACGTTTTATAATTCATTGAAGACTCCATTTTTAGAATTAATTCTTTTTCGAACGTATAGAAAATAGAATGGATGTTTTATAAACAAATATGTTTGTCAACTTTTCCTTTTGACTCAATCATATTTTATTGCAATGAAATTTGTTCAAACCTTTGTTATTTTATATGTCTATTAAATAACCCTTTTATTTGATTTTGAAAAACGTATAAACTTAGAGCAAGTGCCCAAAAATTGGTACAAGTTGACAAATCTGATTTATACGTGAATGGGTGTTATTAAATACTAACTTATATTATTTTTAGAAGTTTGTAATATTTGTAAATTTCTGTTATGAATTAAATGTTATATGTATGGCTACGTATCAGCTGATTCAGTAAAAAAACAAGATGACTGGGGTATAAAAAACATGGTCTATGAGGTTTTAGTTTGAGAACTTTTCCAATATAAAATATTTATGCTCCAGGCCAACTTACACTTTTTGTACAGTGGCAATCCAAATTTACCGTCATCATCCCGTTGGATTACTTTACAGAACAAACCTTATAAAAATAAGGAGATGTGGTATGATTGCCAATGAGACAACTAGCCACCACAGTTCAAATAAAGTGGATGTGAACAATTATAGGCAACCGTACGGCCTTCATCAATGAGAAAAACCCATAATCATGTTCCTAGATTTGTTCTCGCTCTAAATAGGAATGGCATAATTCCATTGGACGAAAAGCAAATAGTCAATTCGTCAAAAAAGAAATATAAATGATGATTCCAATGCATTTGCAAAATACACATTATTTCGCTTTAAAAAGATAAAGATTCAAATGTTATTGAAAAACTAAGGATATGAAGTTTCCATCCATGACACAAAATCAGAACATGCACAGCAGAAACCACAACAAACAAGCAAAGAAACAGCGCTTTTATTGCTCCTTTTAGAACATTACTAAGTTTATATTATATATATTAAACGTTATATGATATCAATGTGTAATACTATTTGACAATTATTAAGCATGCCACGGCATAATACACTGAAACACGAAGACAAACGGTATATAAGTATTGTGACAGCAGGAAAAACTATACTTTTGTTATATTCATTTCCATTAATAAATGCTGCTAAAACTGAATATCTTATAAAAATACGATTAATAATATTAGAGAGTTTAATTGTAATAAAAATCTTACCTTTTCGGGAAAAGAATTAGTCTTTCTTAGATCCAAGTTCAGAAGTAAATGGAAGATTAATTAAGATTTTTCAATATTTATAGATTTTTTTCTATTTAATTCGTGACGCAATGGGAACATTAGCAATACCACGAATGGAGGCGATGCAAACTTCAATTGACCAATCAAATACACTGTCTGAAGTTTGTAAAAAGTGAGAGCCAACTGTCCTAAATGAACTGCTTCGCCCATTTACGTGACAACAAATATGGCATAATTGTTTAAAACTGTCCAACGTGTCACGTCAGACGCAAAATAGAGAGGTACTTTAGAAAAAAAAAGTATCGGTTTTGTAGCACTGGCTATTACTTTCGATAAGTTGCTTTCTATGTGATGTTTGAAGTGATTGTTCATTTAAATATATAACGTATATCACTATTAGTATAGGTATGATTTAATTGACATTTAAGTAAAGTGATTTTACTCTAATTGGGTTATACATTTGTAGTAAACGTGATTGTTGTGAATTAGCGGTTACTGCGATTCAAGTAAACATAAATGCATTTTATAAATAATTTTTAAAAATGGACAGTTTAATCTAAAAGAACAAATTGGATTTAACACGAATATCCAAAAACCATATTATACCAACTTCGCCTTTCGTCGTTTTTCGTTTTTTGCCATGGCATTTGTCAGTTTGTTTTCGACTTATGGGTTTGAATATCTTTTTGGTATCTTTCGCCTCTCTTTTAAAAAATATATGAGCTTCATAAAACATCCGGTTTCGAACTTTTTTGTACACTGCAGTTGATAGGAGTAAACACATTTTTATATTTCGAATGCTTTAATTGGAAATTCTGAGTTAATGGTAATTTGAATTATAACTTACACATGTTTTATTTTTAGCTCTTAATTAATTAAAATGATTTTTAAAAATGGCACGGATTTAAATTATGCATTACAAATGGATCACCATGCTGGCATGAAGTCAACTGTCAATATTTAAAACCAAAATTGATTTATCTTTGTGTCATTTTGTTTGTCTTCAAATATTTCTAAATATGCAAACACAATTTAAGATAAAAGAAATATCAATACAGAACTGTAATGTCCAGACTTTCCCAATGAGATATGATGTCCAACGCTTTTCTTCACCTAAACAATAATTTTCGTCAATAATCATATGGTCAACAATTCGAACAAAGCTTTAGAGGATAGAAAATTAAATTTTAAATTGTCTGCCTATTTTACTTTTTGAAGAATCAAGTTGTAAAGAAATGGATCAATTTATGCGCATGAAAGTTCTGTTATAATTTTTATTTGAAATTAAATGCATGGAACAGTGCAGATTCTTAATTACCAGTGCAACAAGCCAATTGGAACGAAAAGTACCAATGATCGGTGAAAACTATTATAAAAAGCAATAATATTTCTTCTCTTTTTCCCTCTACAAACACCATCACATAATAAAACTATGTTCATATAAAACAATAGAATTTAATCAACATCTAGTTTTGACAGCAAATATCTGATAGTGATAAACTTAAAAATATATAGAATATTAACTAATAAACATTTCCAATAAATCATAAATCATTTTGACATTCTTCTCATGCCATATTTCTCCTTTAAACAATTTCAGTTATTATAGTAAGTCTAATGAGCTTTTCTTTCGTCACTTCTGTTAGAAATTCTACTGATGTCTGCCTTTACATAGGCCTAATTTAAACTTTAAAACCACTCCATACTGAATAATGGAGTTTTTGTTAAGTACCAGAGGTCATTTAGCTTTTTTAGATGAAAAAGACATAATACATAAACAGGAATTGCCAAAAACATTTGGCAGTACAATAGACCATAGCAACCAACAACATCCAAATCCTACGAAAAATTAGACATACAAACGAACACCAACAAACAAAGACAAACAAACAAAGACAAACAACAACAAAAACACGTGGTCCACCTAACCTTACCTGACACAGAACTATCGCTTATCTATCTAGACATTATACATGGAAAAAATTTAACAAATTACAAGTTGTAAAACATGAGCACAAATACTCTTTTGACTATTATTAAAAATTAAACTTCATATCCATGAAGAAAATTCCTTCATTAGTACATATGAAATTCGATAATTCATTAATTAATATGAAGTAACCAACTATCAATAAATCAATTAATGATTAATATTGAAAAAAGTTTATTTCGTAAGTACCTAATTTGAATTGTGGACGAAGTCGATAAACGTCAGCTCTAGTAGTGATAGCTTTGTGATATCACAAAACGTCAAATGACAAATGTCACGTACGTCATAAAGCATTGTCCACACGAGGAGGGCCGATCAACGTGAATATACGTTGGAATTTTATAAAGTACATGCCGGTACATTCAACCCACTTGAGAAAATCAATTTCAAGCGACCACTTTAATTAAATGTAATCCGTAAAGGGTGTGAATTTCCTCATTACCGTAATCTTGGCATAATTCTCAACATTGAAATCAAGTTTAATTACTCTCCTTCTTGTCAAATGAAACAGTGCTTTAACCAAAACTATTAGGAACCTTTCTCCTTGATAAGTATGAAAATGTTTTATACTACCGTTAACACATCTCCTTAAAAGTTCGAGAAAAGTCATTAACCAAACTTCAAAAGGGTGCAATAAAGTTTTAGTAGTAACAGTCAATGGCTATGCAATCTAAAGGGTTCCTCATTATGCAAATGGTTCAGTAATTCATTCACAAACTGGAAATAATTAAATGAATACACAGGGATATGGTATACGTAGATATTTAATTTCGTATCTACATTTCAGAAAGCATCGTTGTTGAAAAGCAAAATTGGCTAAAATTGAAAATATAAAATAAGAATTACAACTACTTTTGTGAAAATATAGTTTGTGCCAAATATAAGAATTTTAACTATAGAAATGTTATCATGGCAACTAAGTATCGTGAAAATAACTTTTTGCCGAAAAATCACCAGTTACATAAACAAAATAGTCGATTTCATGCTGTCTGTATTTCTGTAAGTACATGGCAAAAGCGTTAATCAAAATGACCTCTTCTAATTTTGCGTGGACATTCCAGTTGCGAATTCAGGGGGACGTACACTGCCTCCTATCGGCGGTCATTTTAATATTTTTTACAATTACGCCCCCTCCTTTGTCCTCTGACCCTTGATCCGACTGGCTTGCATACTTGTACTCAATGTAAAAAACCAACAACTTTCCAGAAAAAAAACATTGAACATCGGTTTGTTATACAATCTCAGCCGACTGAACAATAGAAACTGAATATTTATCAATCTAAACAGAATGTTCAAGGTCAAATTCAACGCTTTTGCAATGGCATATCGTCTGAAATTATTGTTATAAAAAGAAACAAATGTTTTGGAAGAAAACGTTTTTTTCTGATCACGAATAAGGGAATTGATGTAAGTAATGATATTCGTCGCAAAATTTACCATTATCACGATTACTTATTCCCTGTCCTCTTGCGTACGTTATTTATATCCCCTCGAACTGCATTGACATAAAATCCATAGATAATACGCTTTGTTAAGTGTGGAAATTCATTTTGAGAATTGTAGAGTCACTTTGTACGGGATATAAAAACACTCAATAAAATATCGGGAAAATCTTCTGTCGTGTTCTTCACAAGCACAGTCAAACAATGTTGTAGTCATGCTCATCATCTTGTTCCCAATTTCTCTTTAAAAACTACAGTTATGGTTAACGTACTGTTGCCTCAAAATTTTTGATCTAAAAGGCAAGGTTTCTGTATGCACTGTAAATATACCTGACGCCTGACGCGTCCGGACGCGTTCAAAATTTGTTCACCGAATGTTCAATATTTTAACGTCATATGTTCATGCTTAGAGACGTGGTCAAAGTTTTAACGTTTGTGTTAAAAATATTAACATGTGTGTTCAGACGCAGTGAACACCGGTGTTCAAATTCTGATCTAAAAAAGAAGATAGTCGTTTGTCCGATTTTCTATCCTTCCTGAATTGGCAAATTCAAAAAGAAATTCTTTAAAAAATATGAATGTATACGCAGGATGATGATCTTGTGAATTTTTGGCTAATATTTTAGTAATTGTGAAATATTAAACTTCCAAGCTGGCATATATGTATAGTTTATGAATTTATTTTATTATTTATTTATATATACTAGTTTTACTTATAAGTGACATAATTATGCATATCAATGAGGCCTGTTATGATAATATCGTAATAAAAATATGTCGATGTTTATCTTATTTCATGATCCGTTCATTTTATTAACATTACATGTTCAATCAGTGTTCAAATCGCTCGAAATTTTAAACACCTCGTGTTAAAAAAAATATACCAGGATACCAAATACCGGAAACAGATATCGGCTGGCGATTTAGGCGGTTAAACGAAGAATGGATACACATAAGAAAGAGAACTGGAGAAGAGACTTCTATCCCATATGAACACGAAAGAAGTAAGTAACAAGTTAGAATAATCTCCATAGGTAGTTCGATGGCTTCCTTGTTATTTTCTCATCCCAGATATATATTTGTCAAATATTCATAACTGTTATATCCAAATTTTCAATATTCAACATAAAAGACGAATTAAAAAACGGGCTTTAGATATAAATGTAAATAACTGTCAGCTTTGTTCTGATGATTTCCTAAACTGATGAATAAACAGTCTGTCTGTTATACAGAATAAATGATGATTTTCGACATCCACATACATTAGCTGAACACTAAGTGTTAAGAACTCTAACATCAAGTGTTAAAAAATGAAACACAAAGGCATTAAAAACTGAAAACCACACATTCAATTGATGAACACTAAGTGTTAAGAACTCTAACATCAAGTGTTAAAAAATGAAACACAAAGGCATTAAAAACTTAACACCACACATTCAATTGATGAACACTAAGTGTTAAGAACTCTTACATCAAGTGTTCAAAAATGAAACACAAAGGCATTAAAAACTGAACACCACACATTCAATTGATGAACACTAGTGCAAACATTTGGAACACCATTTTTGACTTTGAAAATGCATT